ATAAGCTTTTCCCCCAAAAAATTTCAATGAAAATAAATTAGAAATAAGATCTAAATTTGCAATTTTATTTGTCTTTGATTTCAGTAAAAAAGCGAAAAATTATGGTGAAGTGTTTCAATTCTGACAATTGTTTTCTTACCATATAAAAATATATGAACTTATCCTTCGTATATATTTTTTTCTGTTTAACTAACTTGTCGCTGACATTTCATAGAACCAATAACCCGCAGCTCTGCTAACAGTTAAATCGTTAGCAGCTGTTTTTAATTAGAGATTTAATTATCACATAGCTAGGTACGTCACAGAAACGATATCAGAATATTGCTATTAGTCTATAATTCCAGCCTGGAAAAATTTGTATTTCTAAGGTACTTTACCACTTAAAACAGTCCCCCAAACTTGATCATCGACATTCTAACAGAAAAATGAATCCCTACTTTCTCAAAGTCTTTGTCGATGTAATAAGTATCTAGCAATTTTTATGAAGAAGAGATCTGGAGCCTTACTGTTTGATTACTTAAAGCGGTGGTAGAAGACATAATGACTATATCCATTAACTAATAGCCCCCTACATTTACCACCTGCAAAGTTCAGTCAGTCAAAAGTTGTAGGCAAATGCTTCTGCTGCTCTCTGTATGGTCTACACATGTTATTATTACCACAGAGTAATGATACATGAACTGTTTTCTTTGACTGAGGTTTAACCTGGTCAATCTGTGTGGTTAATTTGTACAATATGTAGAACAAGTGTTAGCCTCCAAGGGAGCGAAAGGCATGTTTTCTAGTTAGTAATAGCTTGATTTATTTAAAGGTTTTCTTCATTATATCCGGTAACACCAGGGGCATCTTGACAGAACTGTGAGGCCTGGGTGTATGTGTGTGTTCTTCTAGAGCCTTGACTTACACCAGGTCCTTGAAAAATAATTCTGAATTTTCCGAAATAGTTGCCCTAGGCTATGTTCGAAATGCCTGTACATTATGAAAGCCTTCAGTGCCTCATTAATGACTTTGCAGATGATGTTTTTGACTTCCGATAATTTTTTCCAGATTTCGAATCCTTGTAAGATAAGTTAATTGAATCGTATTTTTATGATCTTCGAACTTTGTAAGGTAAATACTAACTAGTAGTCTGGGTGAGAAGTGATGAATCCTCTTCTCCTCCAAAACACACACTTAGCAGTCTGGGTGAAATGTCTGACTGTATGAGAAGCATCTTGGTACTAAAGCTACCTGCTTTGTGTTATAACCAGTCTTAAATTCAATATTTAAATAAGTTGGCATCTTCTGTTCCTAAAGATTTCATATAGGTTGAACATTAAGATACAGGAAACACTAACTCTTTTGGATATGACGTACCATGTCAGATGAAAATCAGAAGTAAAGAAATTCAAACAATTATGGTTACCTTATGATTTTATGAAGTACCATTTTGCTGTTGAAAATTTCACTTGAACAGAACGATATTGTTATTATAGCTTGCAGAAAGTATTCAGTTGCATTCTATTATTATAAATGTAATTTATAGTTTGCATTTTACCACTCATCCTTTTCTCAAATCATACAAATAAATAATATTTCACAATTTCTTTTCAGAAATAGTTAATAAATTTTTTAACAATTAGTTAGAGCCAATATTCAATTGAAAAATTTTGTAATGCGTATTCAATGTATAAAATGTTAATTGGTTGTTTTAAAGTATAGGTAAATTGCACAGATAAATAATAAAAAACTTCTCAGTATATTCTGTAAAAAACGAACAATGGTTATACATGCTAGTGAATTCTTTCAAAGAAAATAGTAAAGTTCCTTTATTATGTTCAGTAATGAATATATTCTGAGGAGTTTTGACTGAGTGACTTAAAATAAGCATCTATATGCATTATTATTATTATTATTATTATTTTTAACTTATCAGACGCGTAAACCAATTCGCACAAATGAGCAGAATTGAAAAATCAGAAATCGCATGCTTACTAGGAAGTTAATTTTTGAAACAAGTTGATGAATAAAAATATCTTCTAAACAATTTCTTAACATTGAAAAATTAAGGAGATTAAGCATAACAAAGTGTTTTTCACAGCCGTTAGCTTTTAAAAAATTATGCACCAAATATTTCGAACGTTCAAATGAATTTTCTTACACTTTCATAGCAATATTTAGTTTATAAATTGTTTGACTTCACATTGTTATGAGTTTTGCACGCAAATAGTTGATTTTAATGCAATTATATGTGAAACTGTTATATTTTTCTGAGTAACGCAACGCGAAAAATCTTAAAAGAGAAGTTATGCCGGAAAAGTAAGAATACAGGGCAAGTCCATTTAATATTGAGTAAATGAATATCTCGGTAATTTGAAAAGATATACATGAAAACTGTTTTTACGACTTATTTTGTCGCCAAATATGGCGAGAAATCTCTAAAAAACACCAATCTTGGAGACCATTTGGAGACGTTTTGGTCCGGTCGCTGCATCCCCGTAATAAGTATTGCAATTGAAGAAATGTAATTGATCATTGCGTTAGCTGTAACCGTAATTCAACCCTCATATTGCTTTCCAGTAACTTCGAGAAGCAGAAAGTACTAGAAATATCTCGGCGGCTGGTTGAAAAATATATAAGGATGGAGGGAGCATCTGCTGTCAGTATTGTATTGCTGTTTTTAGTATTGAGAATTGTTGGTTCAACATGAGATTGGAGATATTTTTTCTGGGTTAGCTTTCTCTTTTAAATGCACTTTGCATAGCCTTGTGTTTAACATTCTTAGTAGTTAGAAGTGTAACTACTGATTGTACTCTTTGATACTGTGAACACCTGTAGGAGTATTTCTGAGGGAAATTTCAAATGTGTGTGTTTTTTTTTTTTTTATATATATATTACCTGAAGTGTTTCTTTCGATAAAATAAATATTATTAACCTATCATTGTACCTGTGCGTATTCAATCTATTACGAGCCTATACGCACGGAACAATATTGTAACTTATTAGAAAAAGAAATTTGGTCCCATATAACACAACATGATAGTTTACAGATGTGTAAGTTATAAAAACGGCATTAACAAAAAATAGTTTTGAGAATGAATGAAAACATTTATAGATACGATATAAAAATAAATTAAACGCAGTATGAGATCAGTAAAATATTTTCTTCATTTTGTGATGTTAGTTTTAAAAATTAAATTGATACATTCTTTAAATATTAATTAACTGCTTACACTTTGTAAGAAAATAAGTCTTCAATACGTGATTATTAAAAAAGTTTACTTTTTTGTATTAATTAATATAGTTACTTTTAAAGCATTTAAGTTTTCCTTGGATAAGAGATCATGGGACAACTAAGTTAACAACGTATATAAATAACGATAAATTAAATTTATCATTTTAGAGCTTTCAAGTAATAAAGATTTAACCGAAAATCTAATTTAAATAATTTTACTTCATCATTTTACAGTGATCATTGCTATATAATCGTTTATTTTACTTTACTTTATATAAAACCAGCTTGACTAAAGCTCTTGTATTTCATCCGCTTAACTTCTGAAATGGCATTTATTTTCTGAGACGCTGTAGCATATTAATATATATTATTCTACTTTTTACTAATTATTATTTAAAAAAGAGGGGAATATTAATTCACTGCTTACTAATTATTATAGTAAGAAGACATATATAACTTAACCATGTAAAAATAATAGTTAGAGTTAAAAAAATAAATGATCTATGTTGCCACCAGAAAAGTCCTTAAAATTTGAAGTAAAAAAACGATAGAGTAGCTCTTTTCAAAGCAGTGAATTTAAAATTTTAATAATTTTCAAATATATTCCCTATATTTTACCTGTCATATAGATAACATTGGAAAATTATTTGTCAAATGTTCTTTTTTTGGTAATTTTTATATAAAATTGTAGTCTATATATTAACGAATAAACAAACGTAGAGAAATAAAAATAACGGTACTTTTCCGTTTTGCCGGCGCAAGCGATAAAGTCGCCAATAATGGTACAACCGATGCCAAACGGAATATTCTCGCTGATAACCTTTTACGCCTCATTCAGATAGTTCAGTTTTATGTCTAACGCCATTTTCGGCAATTAAATCAATTAGGATGCAATCACAGCGCTTACCCGAAGCCGAAAATATAGAAAAGGTAAAGTCAAGGGTTAAATTCATCAATTCTAATGAGAATGCACTAGCGAAGTAAAGCACTGCAGTTTTACATAATTTCTGAGTAAGCTATTCGTACGAATTGAAGTATTTTTTGCATTTAAACTTGTGTTCCAAGTTAAGATTTAACTTGAAATTAATGTAGATAATTACTGAGAGCATTATATTTTTGTAGAGTAGTATACGTGAGATGGGCTCACGTGATATGAACCGGTGAAACAGGATGTTGAACCATGAAAGCATAGTAAATTCTTAAATTAATGTCTTTTTATAAATTTATTGTCTTTATTTATTGGCTTTTTATAAAATTTTAAGCGATATTAAAATGTATATGCCTTCAAGAAAAGAATTCTTAGGACTAACCTTTTTTTCAATATTTTTTGTGTGTATAATGTATGTTGTCGCCAATAAAGTCTGCTTGGCGAGATTTGCGCCGGCGAAACGGAAAAGTACCAAAATAACTTCAAATGATGAAATTGTGTAACTGTCATAAAAATTAAACAATCGTGACAATTATGTTAGACTGAATTCACAAAAAAGGAAACAGAATTTCTATAAATAGGTTACGTCTTTCGTTTTCATAGTTTAAAACCTCAGAATCGTATGAAATGTTTCTGAAAATTGTTGGATTTGTCCCTATTCTGAAAGACTCCGAGCTTAAAACATAAAAAATCAGCACAGCGACATAATTTTTTTTCGGTAAAATTTGTTGATGCATTAATATCTTCTTATTTTGGTTATATCCATCACATCCGTGCACAAGATTTCCGAAAAACGTGGCTATTGTTCTTAATTTCTTAAATTTCATGTCTATTCTTGTACTTTCAATTACAGAGATTTTTCATATAAGAATTTATTGCAAATAGTTTTAAAAGTTGTTCAGCATAAAAAGAAAGTTAACACTGCTCGTTATGACGATCAATAATTCCAGCCTAGATAAAAAAAAGTATTCATTATAAAACTTGTTCACCATTCCGTACTTATTAAAAAATTACCTTAAAAATATTTATTAAGTGTATCTACTTAAAATTTTGTTTGTAAAGCATAGAATTACTGATTTCAACTTGCCATATAAGAATAATTTAGCAATCTTTACACAGATAGAAATATGCATAAAAATTCATGCTAGAGTCTTAAAGCTACCCATAATTGTAAACTGCTAAAATTTTTATAAATGGAATTAATATTTAAGAAAATGAAGTTTATAGTCATAAGTTTCGAACTCCCTGTGTTAAAAAATATAGATATGATTTTGCATCAGAATTCTTCTACTGATATCCAGGTTCTGAAACTGAGTTTCAGGTGCATTGCTTGCATGTCTGTAGGTTTATTTTGCATACGAAGAATCATGGAAAAAAATACAATTTCTTCATATAAGAAAAACAGAAATATTATAAATTATTATTAATACATCGATTTGAGAAGTTACGTTAGTTACGAAGTTTGAAACTTTAACTAAAATACTTTTTGGCCAAAATATATGTGATACAGATACGCCTTGAATTATTTTTATAATTTAGAGGTGAATTTGCTTAGTTAACAAAATTAATTTAAACTTTAAGAGTGAGATAATATAAATCTACGAAATATATTAAATCAATAATTTGAGCATTTTTAACAGGCACTAAAATTATTAACTAAAGTTCATATTTTCATAATACCTTATTTTTAGTACAAATTTAATAATGATCAATAAAAAATGAACATCCAGGAAAGGCTCTCAGGATAGCTAAGGAATGAAGAAATGTGGCTTAATGTAAACAATGAAGAAATGTGGCTTGAACACTGGAAAACAAAACACTTCGCCTTTAAATTTAAAGTCTATGTGGTGCATTCGCTTCTTCCTTGTACAAAAAATACAAAAAAGGCTATATTTTATGATCCAGTTTGTTTTTCTTACTGATTCTTCCTACTTCATTCTGGATAAGTTTATGGTTACTTATTGAATGAAATCATTATAAAATAATAATGTTTCTTTAATTTATTATTTTTTGTTTCAATGACATGACATGACTTTATTTACTAGTTCAAGCATTGAACTGTTAAGCATCAAATGTTAAACATGGTTTAAAACGCTCACCTCTGGCTGTTCTTGAAAGCTGTATACGAATCAGAATTTCATGCTTCACTTACATACTGACAGAATTAGTAAATCATAACTAGTTATATAATTCGAATTTAATGATTTTGTCCAAGAGAAGTATGATATTTTGAAACTTTCAACAATTAATTTTTATTTAATTTTTTTTATTTTTCAATAATAACTATTACTTTTTAATGCGATATTAATTAATCTATTACTTTTTATTGTTTTCTTAATGTAATTCAAAAATAACAGTTCGTAGTACTTGAGAGCAAAAATAAAGAATAAATATTTGTGAACCAAATTGGTTTAAAGTTAATATGTTTTTAATTAGAAAAGTACAACTTCTAAAATTTTGATTGTTGAAATAAAATGCTCAAATTAAATAAAAATATATACGTACCTATATTTTTTAACTCTCCCTGGTGTTCTCTTCTTTTCATGATCAACACCTGCAATTAAACGAAATGTTGAAACTAAAGTATAAAAAAATTAGAAGATGATTATTGAGCAATCATATTTAGTGAAAAATAAACAGATTTTTTAAAAAGTATGCTTTTCGTGCATTGGATATCTATATATCTATCTATCTATCTAAAATATAATTTCATTAACAATTATAAAAACCAGAACTTTTCAGTTTTACCTATAGGTGTGTAGCCACACTGCCATTAATAATTACAATGAAATTGAAAAACAAGATATCTATCATAAATGTCTTAATAAAACTAACAAAGATGATACCGAAGCAGATTATTTAGACCTACAGATTATCAAACATGTAATATAAAAAAGAAAATTTTTAAGTCAATTCCTACTTAGGTCAACAAAGAAAAATTTTTTAGTTACGTTTTATTAACGTTATTACAATTTTTCGTTTCTAATTTATGAAGCTGATGGTGGTCTATAATTTCTCATTCTATCCATATCTTGTAATACTTCATTATTGCACGGAACCTTTCCATGTGAGTTTCGAGCAGTCCAGTTCTTTAATTAATATTCCATCTAATGATTTCACACGACTTAAGGCGATATATGCTTGACCTTACTACATAATCTACAGAGCTATTTTTTATTTTAATAAGCAAGGGACATTTTAAAAGGTTATATTTTAAACTTATATTATTATCAAGTTTACATAGAAATATGGGTATTATTTTGCTACGTAATGGGACATTACATCACCTTCATCCTATAAAATCCAGCTTCATCCAGCTATAAAACTACAATTCTTTAATTGCATACCCTTTAAAAATCTTCGGAATTTTGTCTTACTGTTGCCACTTATTTTTGTTAAATATTACAATCCCATTTATCACAGTCATGTACTATTATTTATAAGTTGTTATAAAATTAATTTTTACAGAACCTGAGAATTTCTAATAAACGATCATTATTTGTAAGCCTTAATATATTTAAAAAAGCACCATATCTTTAGTTCCAATAAACAGGAATCAATAAGTAGGAATTGACTGGAAAATACTGTATTAACATCAAGTGTCCACTATAAGTTTTAAAAAATGTATTTGAACTTGAGTGGATGAATAAAAAGTATTTTATTAATGACTGAAAATTTTGAACAAGATATAGGGAGAGTGTGAGCTAATAGTAGGAATTAAAAAAATATAACTTTATTTGACACAGGAAGACTTTTCAGTTTCAGTGCCATTGAGCTAATTAATCGGGAATCAGGCATCTCGAGAAAAAATATTGCTAATACTGTTGTTAATTAAATTAAAAGAATTAAAAATACTTGCAATAACAGCAATGATTTTACAAAAGAGCTTAGTTTATTAAACAAAATACTAAATGATAACGAACTTCCACATAAATTTATTTAAAAAAAAAAAAAAAAGATAGCTAAACTACAGTTAGCACTCTAAAAATTATTTTCACCATCAAACTGTGTTTTTTCATGATAAACTACACTTAAACCATTATTACAGTATTTCTTAATGTAGCCACAGTATTTTATTATATCTTACATATATATATATAATTTATAATACGAAATCTTTCCATATACCATCTCCAAGGAGCACAAATTGAATATATATAATGAATAATTTTATATATGTATATATATGACACGCAGTGACGTAGCGATACATATATGTATATATATGACACGCAATGGCGTACATAACACATGGAGAACATAAAATCTAGAATAGTAAATTTTGAGGTCGCCAATCATTTCTTAACGTAGCCATAGTATTTTATTATATCTTACATATATATATAATTTATAATAAGAAATCTTTCCATGTACCATCTCCAAGAAACACAAATTGAATATATGTAAGGAATAATATTATATATGTATATATATGACACGCAGTGGCGTAGCAATACATATATGTATATATATGACACGCAGTGGCGTATGTCTATATATGACACGCACTGTGTGTCATATGTATATATATGACATGCAGTGGCGTAACGATGGAGGGGAGTATGAGGGTTGTAACATCTCAATAAAGATTGCTGTGTATTGAAATTTTAAACAGATCATTTCTCTTAAAATAAAATTTTTGTTTTTATTTGTGTGAAATGTATTTTCACTTTTCCAATGCATGGCTTTGCTTTCATAAAACAGTAAGTTTATAAATAATGCGGAAGCGAAAAATATGCGCACAAAAAATATGAAAAAAGTATGTGAATATCGCCAAAACATTATACTAGAGTACTAAAATTTCGCCTTTAAACTGCGTTTTGTTTCACATGTTGTCAATAAAAGTTTGGCATACTTGCTTCAAACTAATCTGGCAACTCTGCTTTCAAGCCGAGCAGATGTTAATTTACTCGTTAGTGGAAATCATCCGGATGTAGTATTTCTCGTCTCGTTTTCCGTTTAATTTAATAAAACGAAATTTCTTCCTATTAACTTTTACACTGTGTCTACCTCCACAGACCACTCAACGTTTTTTTGAACAGAATTCTGTGCAACCATCTGCCAGATCAACCCGATATTTTTCTTAAAAGCCTTCTCCGCAGTTGCAGAGCTTGCCGTATGGAAGGAACATTTCTTTCAGATGGTAATTTCTATTTAATCTTCCTTTCAAAGTAATTTATTTGAATTTTTAATTGTTTCAGTTTTAATGCAAAATTTTCCATTTTCAAGCTTATTCCCTTTGTAATTTATCTTTAATTTACATTTTATTTTTTATTTTTTTCCATTTTATGGTGTAAGCTTTCCATTTTCGTATAGTTTTTTTTTTTTCATTTCCTGAAGCTTTAAAATAAAAATCTGCATTTTTATTGAATAAATTAACTTCCTCGAAGATTTTGACTCCAAATAATTTACTTTTAGGTTAATTGTTTTTTTTTTTTTTGGGGGGGGGGGATAAAAATTTTTTAGCAATTCTGCTTTGGTTATGAAAGTTTAGCACATTCCTTTTAGTTCCCCAATGTTTTTCCTGTTTCTTTCTCGAATTTTCTTTTTTCAATGTTACTTTTTAGGGTCATATCGGAGCAGATTATATCATGGTGATTAAATGGGTTAAAAATATTTCTTTTTATTTTTGCTTTATTGCCCTTTTAAAGCGGTTTGATTATTTTAATTAAATAATACCAATTTGTATTTTCTTTTGGTTTTTATTTTAAGGTATTTCTATAATTCACAGTCATCTAGATATAACTCAGGAACTCTGTTGAAAATTCTTCGGCTCCTCCTTGAAAAAGACCAATGCATTTTCTTACACTTTTTACAAATTTTATTTTTTAAAAAAAATTATGCTTTATTAATTTTGCTAAATTTTTTGTTTCTATTTTGACTTGTTTTTTTAAATTTTGATATGAGTATATATATATATATATATATATATACGTTTAATTTAGCTTTATTTTGTTTCTATCTACATATAGTTTGGATCACAAATGCCTCTTATCACGAACAATTTAGCTGAACCGATTTTGTAACACCATTCATCTCGGGTGATGAAAGATGTTACAAAAAATCAAGTTAGCAACGAATCATTTTTAAAGTACTTTTGAGATAACCTCTGACACAGAACACTCAGAGACTTCCAGAAAGGTCTCTCATTGCTTAATTCTCAATCCCTGACTTAGAATTAACACTCAGAGATTGACAGAAATGTTTTTCATAATTTTAACTTTCATTAGCTACGCCAGGTAACAAGTGACTTAAATGACCATGAATTCGGTTTGGAGAATATCCTTGCTAAATTGCGTTGCGAGCAGAAATTTTGAGATCTTTGTCCTTGAGGATTTTTTTATCTATGATATTGTGTCTCCATGTTAACTTAGAAACTTTTTATAAACTTAGAAGTTAACAATGAAGGAAAGGAGGTACTAGGGGACCGTAAAAATAAACTTAACAAGAAAGAACTGGAGCACCTTCAGAAGTAGCAACAAAAGGAAATTGTGAGAAGAAAGAGAGAATATCTTCAGAGGAAGCAAGTGAAGATGAATCTAGCTATTTGATCTGAGAAGCTTGTGCAAATTGGTCTTCTAAGATGCGAATTTTTGGAAATAACATCACCCTAATAAAGCAGTAGCAAAGTACAGTAAAGTATTTTCAATAACTGTGAAGTCTCTTTTATGAAACATTTTTTAAATGCCGACAACAGCAGCAAATCACATTGGAGAATTTTTGAGATAAATGGAGGTTCAGTGAGTCTCCAGTAGTGTCAAGTGTAACTAACAGACAAAAAAAAAGTATAAAAGAATATGCCTCAAAATAGAGTTTATGATGTTTGCTAAACTGAACTTTCAATCCAAACAATTACATCTCCTCCTTTTCTCTTCCTCAGCATTTTCCTCTGATGTCTTTCATTCTCCTTCGTAGCGGTACGGAAAATTAAACAAAATTTTCGTCTCTTTATCTGTTTATTTTCGACTGTTTTCTACTACCAATTTGTGTCCATCTACTTTCCTCTTAGGTAAGCACGGAGGAAACAAAAGAAGGGAAGAGTCACTTCGAGAAACACATCCAATCCAAAACGAAGAAGTTCAGCAACGAGAAGCCTTAATGAAAATCTGGGACTCTCCATCTTACTGACAAAAGTCGTTATTCTGTTAATATAATTGCCACATTAAATACAGTTGTAGCATTTCAGAAACACTACATCTATCACAATTCACCTCCCAAAGAAAAATGGTAATGATGAGGCTTATTATGAGTACAAACTTAAAGAATTCTTTATGTAATGTTATGTATCTTTCTATGGTATTTGTTGTAATTACTATATTTTAAAAAAAAGCCTTTAAAATTTTGAAAAGAATCAAGAATTTTTGAAAACCTCCAGAAAAATTGTGAAGTCTCGTATTAATGGCATTTAAAATATGAAAAGTGCACATATCGTGAAGATTAAGGAATGATGCAGTTAAATGTTGAAGCACAAAACAGTAGAAGCTTGCAGTCATGTGAAATTTTAAATTCAGTGTGCTAATCGCGCCTGTTCCAGAACGTAAAATTTATATTTTTGTTACTATTGCAGTAGAAAGAAAGCAGCGCAGCAGCGTCTTAGAGACAACAAAAGCAAGAGCAAAGTGCGTTGTATTCAGAACGAAATCTTAATTCAGAATGGATTGGATCCGATTTCGATTTTCACTTTCATTAGATAATTAATAAAGCTCCAAAATTATTATTGGCTGAAATCTTATGTAAATTATTTTCATCAGAGCATTATGTAAAGTCGTATGATATGCATTAATCTAAAAATGACACAGCCCAAAAAACGTTTATTGTAAACAATTACTATTTTTAGTATAGATAGGGGAAATAATTAAAATGAAAAATAAAGAGGCTATTGGCTAATTTAAATTATATTATTACTTTACATACATATATATATATATATACTAGCTTTATAAACAGCACATGAAGAAAAAATAACACGAAGAGACCAACCAAGTCTCAAAAACTCTTTATCCTCTTTCTTGCAGAAATTACATTTAGTGTCAAGAAACTCCGGATGCTAGCAATCTTCTCCAGGTGGCTATCAAAAATATGGTCACGTCTGACTGCAGAGTGTATTAGATATAACAGTAGTGAGACCTTGTAGCTAAATGACAGTTAAGCACCTTTAGCACCCTTCGTACCTTATTTAGTTTTTTGTGTAATATTAAAAAGCAATAAGAGAGCTACAGGTAGAGTAAGCTACAAAATAGCGTTAATAAGATTAAGAATCTGAGATCAGTCGACTACAACATCCTCAAAGTTTAGACAATTATCAGTTCAAACTATGAGGCAGAGAAAATTATTCTATGTAATGACACACAGAATTAGAGGATATCCCTGAAATTTTACTCTCATATATTCTCATAATATAAAAAAATATCTTTAATCATGTTTCAGGCATAGGTAACGGTGCATATTGTTTGCTCCACCTTATAGCGTGCTAACACTTCTTCGTTCTTCCGTAGTGGTACCATTTCCAGAGTTGTTAGAATGGTTTCGAATTTTCGAATTTTCCCAAGTCAAATCACTTTAACAAAAAATATTAATACTCCAAAGAATTCTTTTGTGAAATTTTTATCATTTTTGTAGTTCCAAAAATGCCACCAAAGTAGCTGAGACTTTTATTGTCAAAATATTTCAGGGAGGCAAACAGTGATTTAGACTACTAGAAGGATATAAAATAATTATTATCCATGTATATTCGCTTTATCCTATTTTTGCTAACATGTCTTCTCTCATTATTTCCTGCATACATTGAAACAACTGATGGATTAGAGGATTTAGTATTTAAATGATGTTTTCTGCAAGATATTATTAAGAATAAGACACTTTCTGCAGAGAAATTATTTGGCTATAATTTCTCTTTTTGCTTCATCAGATGACTAGCCACATATCCCTCATCTTCACATAATAAGTTATATTCCTTTAAAATGCATTAAATCTGTAGTAAATTTAACTTCATACCCTTAAAGAACCTATTAGCGGCAAAATAACTTTCAGAATCGGCATATGGTATCTTACTTATCACAATTTCAAATAACTGCAATTTAGTATAGTTGAGGTCATACAAGACGCAGGATTAATCAAGTAGGCCTGTTTTTGCAGTAGTTGATGCACCTATTTTATGCAAAATATTTGCTTATAAAGTCTTAAACACCATTTCAGTGAAATTTTACATTTTCCACATGTGCAATATTTTAAAGCATTTCCATCAAAATCTTAAACTTTTGACCTCGCATAACACATGTTAGTCTCTATATTTCCTTCTTAATTTCTGTCTTGGCTCGTTCATGCATGGATGCAATAATACTTACACAAAAACACATATATTTATTCATATAATTTCTAACATTAGACCTTTCATGCTAAATCCTAAAAATGCCTCTAACTCCATTTTTTTCCCATATTTATTCTTGAAAGTTAATTTTTCAGAAATACTATTACTCTCGTTTGCATATTATAACAAAATTACTTTTTAAGCACGTGAACTTAGGCTTTTAGTTCAATTAAGATATGATAATATAATAGCTTATCTTGCGATCATATTTTTATAGGTATTTAATTTTCTAATCTTATGCTTTCCGAATAAATAATTAAACTCTTACTTTATTGGAACTATTTAATAACAGATAATAACGAAATGAAATAATTAACTACTTAGCAAGTCTACTACGCATCTTTACTCAATTTTTCATCGCATTTAAAACTCTTGATTAATTTTGATTTTTATTATAAGGCTATGTATTTTATAGTAGCTTGAATTTTATTGTTGATAGTTTACAGAAGCGATTCTTCTACAAACTATCAACAGAATCTCTCAGACAGAATATATATCTAACAGAATTTAATAGCGTATAGATGTCACGAAACTTCATTAACATATATTAGAAAGTCAAAAAAATAAGTAGAAGCGACTTATAAAATTAGCCATTACTTTTAAAATACCCTGAAAGAACCAAATTATATATGGATCATAAATTTTGTTGTATCTGGTGCATAGATGAGAACCCAAATAGTTAAGTACTGTTATTTAACTTTATATATTTAAGATAAAATACTGAAGAAATTTTTATTCTATAAAGTACCTGAAATTTATTTAATACACGCTTTGTAATAATAAAACTTCTGTTTCAATTTCTAGCATATTGGGAAAGTAAATAAAAGTTACATCGGAAATCAAGGTAATACATTACTTTTGAAGTATCCTGAGAGATGAGAATCTAAATAACTAAATATCATAATTTTTCTTTATACATAATACTTTATATACTTGAGATACGTTAGTGAATAATTTCTTATTCAATATGATACTTGAAGTTTATATAATATTTTTTTATTATCGTATGCCCTTTTTTCATTTAAATTTTTTAATGTGTTTATATTTTAACTCTATGATTACTATACTTTACCTTATTATATATTTTTCAAATTTAAATTTTGATTTAAAATTTTCTATCGTTCAGCTTTACTCTTTTACTAAGTTATAATATTCTCCGCAATTTCCTTTTTATATCCATTTATTCATTTATTTTGATAGCTAAAACGGTTTTCTCATAATCACACTAAACATACATCTTTTGAAAGCAGGTCCAATAACACGGTAACAGCTGATTAATGAAAAAATTCGGCTTTAGTTTTAAATTTAATAAATCGCAAGATAATTTTAAATCTCATAAATCTATACCTGCAAAATGTTTTTCATAAAATATTAAATATATATATATATATATATATTATGAAATTTATTAGACAATTACTAAATATATTAAAAAATTCATCACAAAATTAATTTGGATGCAATGCCAAATGTCATATTATTTTTCCACAGTGGTGAAATTTTATTAATTTTAACACTCCTATGCAATGTATCACTTTTTACTCAATCAGTTGAAAGGTAGTTGCATCACATTTTAAAAAACAAGTACATCGACTAAACTTCTAATCTACTTTAAAGGGTCTTCACGTTAGAGTGTAATCAAGATATTAGTTCCGGAGGCAATAAAAGATGAAGGCGAAGCGGAAACCGCAAGGAACAAAAAACAAAAGAAGCCTAAGCAGAGCAAATAAAAAGTCGCATACCTTAAGTGACCGAAGCCCAATGAACGACCGGCCATGTTGGAAAGCAGCAGACATGTCTGTCTCCCCCAAAGCCTTCTCGGATCTTGGCAAGGCTAAACTGCTCCCTGCTCGAAAAGTTTCTTGACATGGTTAACTCTTCAGCTGATCTTCTTTCATGGATAAGATTTGGAGGGCTATTAAGCCTGAAATGGAAGGGGGGTGGGCTGTTGAAAGAGGTGTCGCAGGTAATGTCGGGGACTCTAAATAGACGGGGAGTTTCTCGTTCGGTGTGCAATGGAAAGGAGAACGAGAGTACCCAATCAATAGGAGGTCTCCCTCGCTGACAGCAATGCGGTAAGTCCCCAGAGTGTGCCGGCGCAACTCTCTCCCCATATTAATAATGCCCGGATCTCTAATGGAGGAATGGCGAATGAAGAAGCAAAGAGAAAGTTCCGATTTTGTTACAAAATGGTTGAAAGACAATACACAAGATTTAAACAACGATTTTATGTTACGCCTTTTAATTCTGTAACTAAGTTAGGCCTGCCACTGAAGATCCATATTTTTGCATTCCATCTTGAAATTTCAGTTAACCCATGAATGCAAAGGAAAATAAATTAATACAGAAATTAACCTTTTACATGATGTTTAACTTCTGCCTGTTCAATTGCATACATTGCTTGGTTCTCCATATAATTTTGTTTAATAAGTAGTCAACACATTAATTGATTTTTTATTAATTTAAAGATGTGCAAGAAGATCCAGATATCCAAACAAACTGACACCACAGACCATCCGAATATTCAAATAATCCAAATGATTATTTTTAGACCAAAAGGGCTATTAATCTTGAAACAGATTTTGCGTTGTTTCAGTTTTCATTTGAGTCTATCGCCATTCGGAGAAAATGTAAGATATTTATCTTTCAAATTGAATCTCTCTGTTATTAATTAAAAAACTAAACTATTTAGGCGAAAGATGTAGTTCCTAAGAATATTATTTTCTTTCACTTTTTAATCGGATTGGTTTAAATGAAAACACATTAATTTCATGGTATATCTTCATTAAATACTTTTATAAAATTGTATTATAAATTTTCTGACTTTTTAAATATTTAGAAGATAATATAATGTTTCCATGTTAATCTAAATATATATTATAAAATAGTATACTATAAAATTCTACCTGGGCAGTCTCTAATGGTAATCTCTGCTGATAAACTAAGTTAAATTTAAAAGAAGCAGAAGCCTTTTGGGTGACCGTTAAAGTCTGAACAATTTCAAATTTCTTTTTTTTTAGCCCAAAGGGAGTTAGGTCAGAAGGGCTATTAATTTCGTTTTGGCATTTTGAGTTGAAAACTTTAAATGTCGGTTCACTTTTCAGACTGTTGCCACCAAATATTGCTGCTTTGTATTATATTTAAAGAAATTAAATATTGAGGAATCTGCATAAATGTATATATGTTTTTCGCAATGTGATAAATCAACGGTACTCAGAGCCATCAAATTTTGAATAACGTAATCTTCCACAGAAAATGGGCAAATGGAAGCCCTAATTTGGAATTTGTTTTATTATCGATTTCATATTCTGTAAAACTTTAATGAATTTTCGATTAACGAAGTCAAGGATTTCAAAGCTAGCAATGGCAAAGTGGTACAGAAAAAAACACTTTTATCTCCAGCGAGCGAAACTCTGTATCGGAATTTATAATAATATGCTCAATTTAAAATTATTTTGCGATATTGCTCTTGAACTGAATTTTATGGTTTAAGTGCGAAGAACATGATATTTAATAAATAAAGGTAACTCACAAAACGTTAAAAAAGCCCATTTGGGCGTAATGCAAAATCTAAAAGCTTTCAGAGTTTTTTTTTTTTTTTTTTTTTTTTTTTTTTTTTTTTGTTTTTTTGTTTCCCAATGGCAGATTGTGAACAGTTACAGTTTTTGTAACAAAGTCCATTAATCTATACTAAGGCCAGATGTTGTGGAGTCTTTATTATGGAGGTATCTAATTAGGTGGGCAACCATTGCCTCCTATGAGGGGATGTAGTAACTAATTCAGGTTACTATCAGAGAGCATTAATTCCAAAGGTAAGTGATCACTCCGTGTCCTGATTAATGCACACACATTTTATTTACAATATAATACAATGGTTATAAGCATTATTATTATTAGGCATACGCCTTCATCGTTATTAGGCTTAACACCTTCGTTCTTCCATCAAACTAAAAGCAAGTTACAGAACATCAACAGAGAAAAGACGTTCGGAGCGCCACCTAACGGAGCAAACTATCAATTTATAACAAGGGACGGACAGTTATAACCATGCCTTCTCCAGAATTCGAACCCAGGCCCTTCCGTATCGCAGTCAGGCTCCCCTAACCACTATACTGTCTGGGGGCAGCTTTCAGAGTTTATTTATTTATTTTTCCATTTCGAATTATTTTTTTTTTTTTTTTAATTTTTAATTTTTTAGCTCAAAAAGTGTTATTAGTCTCGAAATGGGATTTTGCGTCTAATCACTATAAATGAACCGTTTCACTTTTCATTCCAGTCTGTTGACATTTGGCAAAATATAAGGTACTTATCTTTCAAACTGAATCTGTCTGTTGTGCATTAACAAATTAAGCTTTCTGAAAACATTAGATGCATTTCTTAAGAATATCCGTTTCTTACATTAAAATCAGATTGATTTAGGTAATAAAAATACATTTATTTTTTTATCTGTCTAATTAAAAATATTCATTATTTTCAGAGAAAGACGTTGTATGTATGTATTTAGTTATCTAGTTTATATTTTGTAAAGCGTTCATGAATTTTTGATTAACAAACTCAACTAATTGAGAACGAGCAGTGGCAACACTGGAATTGAATAAAATATTTTTATTCGCAGCCCGCGGGACTGTCTGTCGAAAAATCTGACGATATGCTGCTTTTGAGTATTTTGTGATTTTGCTGTTGAATTGAATTGTATGTGGCGTAAGTGCGAAGAACGTACTATTTAATAAATAAAGTTAACACACAAACGTTAACAATAAAAAGAGAAAAAAATTTGCAATAGTTGCTTACCAGAAAACTGAACATTGATATTATGAATTGAGAAAAGACTGAAAAAAATAGGAAAATTTATGCCAGCACTTAACACATCGGGAATTCTAAATATACTGCTATGCTGTTTTTCAATTTTTTTGCTATTTTGTTGCTGAGTTGCATAAGGCGTAAGAAAAATATGCATAATAATAGGGCATTTGAACTAAAATTAAAAAAGAGCACTTCTTTGTTGTTTATATGAAACTAGCATAAGGTACCTGTAACTACACACAACAATCAAGATCTGCACAATTTAACATTATGGAAAGACAGTTTTTAGCCTAAAATAATATAAAATTTAAACGGAATTACTAAATGAAAAATCAAAATGATTAACAAGGAATCCGGATAACTGGTAGTTCTGTATATTTGGAGTTTGGATAATTAAAACTTTGGAAGCCCGTTTTATCTCAAGCATCTATATCTGCAGTTCTATGCCATAAACGCGTGGTATAAATAAGGCAGATAATCTTAAAACTATTGAATATATAAATAACTTCATCGATCCGCTTATAACTGTAATTTATATTATAACGTTTTTCTCCCGCCTTCGTGGTCAGCATACTCGGCGCGTATTCGAGAGGTCCATGGTTCAAATCCCGGCGAGTTCATTGCTCATTTTTCATCTCTCCTACTTTCAAAAATACCTAATGTCTCTACAGTGGCGCCCGAACTAGAAAAAAAGGTGGTGAATAATGATTCTCCACCACCAGGATTTGGCGATTGGGTTCCATAATCTGCAGTCGCCCTTTAAAAGAAGAAGCATGTAAGGTATTTCTATCGCCTTCTTAGTATGTCTTCGTGGTGTAATGGCCAGCACACTCGGAGTGTAGTTGAGAGCTCCGAGGTTCGAGTCCCAGCGAGAGCATTGCTCATTTTTAATCTCTCCGGTTTCAAGAATACCTAATCTCTCTATAATATATCTAACAATTTTATAATGTATTTGAAAATTTAATGAGTAATTTAAACTGTAGTTATAGATGTCCATTATCATATTACGGTTAATGCTCACGTAGAAGCAATTTTCTAATTTGTTACTCATTTGTTTCTGCAATCTTTTGCATCCTACTGATAAATGACACTCCCAAATGTTTTTTTGTAATCGACCGTATATTTGATCGAAGGAGATTTAAAAACAATACTCCTAGTATTATGTGATATTAAAGTCGATAAAATATTCAATTCAGATAAAAATATATTTACATTTTATGAAATCTAAATCACTAGCAGCAAGTTCATGAGATAATATTCAGTCCAAAATAACTAAATCACTGTGGCAACACTCTTGTTACAAAATGATGTTAAGTAAGCTTCGAAGCAAGTTTAAAGAATGCTTGTTATCTAATGGATTGAAACATCATGGTTTTGCATTAGAAAATAAATTACAAACTGAGTGCATACTTTGAAATTAGTAACATTCAAACTTTTCGAATCGTAAAATGTACTATCCAATGGATTGCAAAAATTCTCTCGGTTTTACTCGAATAAACAAAAGAAGAATGAGTAACCTACAGTAACTCGTGAAAGTCATGATCCGCTTAAAATTTAGTGAAACTAGTTTGTTGCATTGCACATGTAAAAAAATATAGGAGGGATAAGTAATAATGAACATATAAAGCTTTTTATATATAATATTTAAAGACACTATCTAAGATTGTGTCTTTAGAATATTACCAATAACTGTAATTCCTGTAACTATAAATCCTTACATTTTCCTAACGAAATGTCTTACCAAAACATCACACTGTTTCCATTTTAAATGTTACTTTCATCGATATTAGATAAATGCTAGTTTATCTTTATTTTTCTTTATTAAAATGCTGGGATCACTTTGTGAAGCAAGTTAAAATTTCTGTGTATATAAAGCTTTTATTCAATGGCATGAAGGTGATTTGGCATGTAAGTCTTGTCTATTTCAGACGTTCTAACTTACGGGACATGGAGAAAGGCGCGTAAAGAATGCCAATGAGTAAATATGATTCCTTTTTTGCTCACACTGAAAGCCAAAAACAAAGATAAATTGCATTTGGAATTCGAGTAACGTACCTGTTTGTTTAAGTAGATTATCGGAGATACTGGTCATTGATTACAAGCAGAGTTCATTTTACTTTCCTGATTTCGAATATAAAAAACAGTTCCAGCAAATGGGGACCACTGAATGATTTGCATTAATCATTTGGTTACCTCTAATTGGTTTTGCCGACGTTTAGTCTTCCGCTGAATTCCTACTTCATCTGTTAAA